AATTCTCATCATACACTGTTGATTCATTGTCACCCATTAACACAAAGTCCTCTCGTGCCCACAGTACAAAGCTTCAGCAATCATATTCCTCAGAAGCCACAGATTCCTGTTAAGTGGACCATTTAGCTTGGAACAGATTTAAGAAATGTTCATATTCTACAGTTTTTCAGTTGTTTTCTAATAAAAAGCTATTAAATGGCCAAATACTAAAGTATAACAAAAGTTATATTTTAATTACAAAATGTAACCCTTTCATGGCTGAATGATTTTCTGCCTTGGACTTTTCTATACAATATGTTTTCAGTAATGGAAAGCATCCTGAGATAAAGGGAAAAGTATTTTGGAGGTAATATGAATTTGTGACACGCTATAAGGGTCGCATATGTCCCAAGTGGACTCAGATGGTAGAAGTCATAGGGGAAGGCCCAATTCCTTAGAAGCACGCTGTTAGGAATATTACTAGGTGGCATATGTACTATGACAGGGATAGCATATTCCCAAAAACCTGAGAAGCTGAAGTTTTTGATGGGCAACATATGTCCCTGAGTTACAAAATCTATAAACTATAGTTTAAACTGTGATTTAAACTACAGTTTTGCATTGCTTAATAGTCCAATGTAACTAGAAGTTAGGTTTTATTTGCAATTTTTTAAACCACCATCAAGTCGGTTCTAACTCATAGCAAACGTGCAGTACAGAGTAGCGTTGTTCCCAAGAATTTCTGAGACTGTAGATCTTCACCAGAACACATGCTGCTCTCTCTCTCCCCCAGGGAGACTCTGGGCTTGACCACTGTGCCATCAGGGTGCTCTTACTTATTATAAAGTTAAAACGATTCCTATTGTTTGGGAACAAATTCTGATTTAGAAACAAAATATTAACATAATACCACTTTTATGAGTCTATAGGAGCCCAGGTGGCACAGTGGATTAAGTATTGGGATGTTAATTAAAAGGTGGACAGTTTAAAACCAACTCTTGCACTGTAAGGGAAAGATGAGGCAATCGGCTTCCATAAAGATTTACAACATTGGAAACTCCAAGGACATTCACTCGGGCCTATAGGATTACAATGAGTCTGAATTGGCTAGCCAGGAGTAGACTGGCATGTTTTTTATGAATATGTATGGAAGGTTACTCTTAAAACAAACAAACAAAGCCACTGTTCCTTAGATGATTCCAACTCTTAGTAGACCCTAATGACCTGGATGGAGTAAAGCTTCGGGACTGTTATGTGCTCATGTGACGTGACTCAGAAATGAAAAGAAACCGCCATAAACACCCACTGGTAATCAGAACAAGAAATGTACAGAATGTAGAAAGTCACCAAGAATGAAATGAAATATATTAAGATCTATGTCTTGGGCAGGCTCACTCAAAAACACCACTGCTAGCAAGTCAAGGCAGATTTACAGCAACTAGCACCGACCATTTTGAATGGACAATCATGATTTAGTATGACGGCAATGACAAATTGAGGAGGAATGGTGGCCCATCCATTGGCATAAAGAACATTGTAAGGTCTATACTGAAGTTCAGTGTTGTCAGTGATAAAATAATATTCATGAACAAGGCAAATTAATCAGATTGTCATTCAAATTTACCCACCAGCTACTACAAACAAAGATGAGGAAACTGAAGAAGCCCAGGAAATTCCCACTGAGCTATGCCAAAAAATTTGGAAGATAATTACTGAATAGAAGAGATCCATATCTGTGCCCTTTCCAAACAGAGGTGACCCAACAGAATGTGAGGTATATTAAATAATACCACTAATAGTACCTGAGTGTAAAGTTTTGCTTACGATAACTATAAAACAATTGCAGTAGTACATGAACAAGGAACTACCCAAACTTCAACTGGATTCAGAATAGACACAACATTGCCTGTGTCAGATGGAGCTTGGCTGAAAGCACAGAATGCCAGAAAGGTATTTGTGTTTCATTGACTATGTAAAACACTTAATGCATAGATCAGAACAAACTATGAATACATTGCAATGAATTATAATTCCAAAGCAGAAACTATACGTAGATCAAGAGGCTATCAATCTAACTGAATAAAGGGATATTGCATGATTTAAAACCAAAAAGCGTGTCCACCAAGACAATATCATTTCACCATTTTTCCAATATGTATGCTGAGCAAATCATCCCAGGAAATGGACTGTCTGGGGAAGAATGCAGTGTAAGGACTGGAGGAAGGCTTATCAACAACCTGTGAGAAGCAGATGGCACATCTTGCTTGCTGAAAGCAAAATGGACTTGAAACACTTGCTAATGAAGAGCAAAGACTATAGTTTTCAGTATTGAGAAGAATGAATAACGAGTAAGACTCAGTAATGAGAAGAAAACAAAGTCCTCACACCCGGATCAGGAAAATAAAGGGGGGGGGGGGGATGAAGTTTTCAGGGATCTCATTTTACTTGGATCCATAATTAATGCCTTTGATATATTGCATTGGGTCATGATGCTGCAAAGGATGTTTGTAAAGTACTGAAGAATAAAGGCATTAACGGTACTTTGAGGAAAAGGCAGAGCCTGATTTAAGCCATGGTATTTTCCGTGGTCTCATATGCATGTGACAGTGAGTCATAGATAATGAATAAAGGAAGACTAGAGAAGAAGTGATGCATTCAAACTCGGAAATTGGGTGATAATATTAAAGCTAACTTGAACTTCCAGAAGAAAAACCAATCGCACTTGAAAGAAGCACAACCAGACGCTCCTTGGCTAGACCTCATCTCAAGAACTTTGGATATGTGATCAGGAGAGATTAGTCTCTGTAGAAGCTCTGGGCAGAGGGTCAGCTACAATGGGAAGTCTCAGCCGAATGAATTGAGACTGCGGCTGGAACAATTGGCTCAGACATAACAAGTGTGAGGATAGGGTTTTGTTCTTTTGTACATAGGGTCACGATGAGTCAAAACCTACTCTACCCAACCCCCTCCAACAATCACATTGAAAGTTATGATGACACCAGTTTCTCTTTTTTAACTTAGTGGATTTTTTATCTTATCTATGCCCATAACTGTCTACCGTTTATCTATCTATAATCATTCTCCCCTAGGAGACGGAAGATTTCTTCAGTATTATAATAGTGGTTGCAATGAGACAAACTAGCATTTAAATATCTTCTCTTTCTCGTACTTAATGCGTGACTTTGACCAAAGTTGTTTGTGTTTCTTTCACTAAGTCTCAGTTTCCACATCTAAGGGCTAGTAATAATGAATCCATCGTGCTTTTGTAAGAGCAAAATAATGCTAACATGCACTCCCTGTGTTTGTGTGGGAGGGGTGTGTATAGATGGAGGTGTGTCTACCCTGTTCCCTACAAGCAGGACAGAGCACGGTATTCACAATGTGCCTGGCACTGGAAAGATAAAACTGAAGAAGAGATATCCTCCCTACCAAGGGATGAGCATATTTACAGCTGCCTATAGGACATATATTACAACTGCATGCAACTAACTACAGGGCAATATGCTGTAAATAACAGGGAAGCGCCGAGAAGGGTGTGATTAATTCTCCTATTTCAGGGAAAGACTTGATTCAGCTAGAAACACAGATTTATTCATTGTCTTAAAAAATAAATCATAACAAACAATTATATCACAGAAATACACCAGTTTCAGCTGTGAAATCCTTGCTATTGGAATCCCTGATAAAAAAGACCCTGATTTTAATATACTTCCCTAACAAATTCCTTAGTATGATATGGACTCTATAATGATTCCACCTGATAGTTAGTTCTATACTATTAAAAATTCAGAAGCCTAAGATTCCTATAAGACTCCAATATGTCTTATTATTTAATGTTTCTAAACATTTTAGAAAAAGCATAGCATGTAAAAATTAAACAGGCAGAACAATGAAGAATCTTTGTAATATCTTAGTTTACTCATAGATCCAACTAAATAAGATAAAAATTTGAAAAATAAAATGACAATAAACTGCAATTTTCCTCCTGAAATATTAATTAGAAAGATAAACTCTCTAACGGTGTAGTATTATAAGATATAGTATATTAAGAAGCATAATACATTGATATGTATACATCCTTGAAAACTGCCCTAAAAATGTTACCTCTGTTTTCATCACTTAGACATACAAAAGATGTGGTCCCTGGTTCAGCTGCCCTCCTATCTGAAATCTACTTTTATTCTGTAGTTAGAGCCTCTGAGAATGAGAATGCCAAAACCAATCCTATTTTCTGCAGGGACTCTTCAATCCGGGTGTGCTGCCTTAGCTGGTTGTTGTAGATATAAGCTTCTGATACAGGCATGAAAGAAGCTGGACACAGTGGCTGGGGAGGGTAGTATTTTCCAATGCGGTGAGTCTGTGGTGCTCACCCACATAAAAATCTGGCAACTGCCTTAATAGTGATAATTACCCAGGTAGAAAAGTGACAGAGCAGCAAATGTGAAATACAGAAAATGTGCTGTTTATTCAGGTTGATCTTGTTTACCACTTTCTTCTTTAATGTTAGTTATTGGATTAACTTGAGCCCTCTGCTTTTTAATCAAGTCTAGTGGGAAATTAACAGACTGGAAATATTGAGTATATGGTTTCTAAATATTATTATTCCATTACCTCTCTGCTAACGTCCAGGTAAAGTGCGTGCTCCAAATGGAGCCACCTTTGGTAACAGCATTGCAGAAACTTGTTTCTTT